TTACCACAGACTCATTTATCATGGCACTAATGAGGTTTGTCAGTAGGAGAGGCTATCCAAAAGAGATATACAGTGATAATGGATCAAATCTGGTGGGAGCTGAGCGTGAACTAAGAAGAAGTCTTCAGGGTTGGGTACAGGAGCGTATACACTCTGCATTACTAAGAAAGGGGATTGACTGGCATTTCAATCCTCCGGCTGCTAGTCATTGGGGAGGAGTGTGGGAGCGCATGATTCGCTCTGTACGAAGGGTATTGGGTGCTCTTGTAAAGGAACAATCTTTAACAGATGAATGTCTTGAAACTTTCATGACAGAGGCTGAGCGTATAATTAACAATCGACCTTTAGTTCCTGTTACAGACGACTCGAACGATTTCGAGGCCATAACACCGGCAAAACTATTGCTATTGAGAGAGAATGTCGAAGAAATCACTTACACTCTACCTAATGACAGATTTTCTAAGAGATGGAAGCAGGCGAGTTACTTGGCACAGGTATTTTGGAAACGTTGGTCTAAAGAATATGTTTCGCTATTGCAGCGTAGATATAAGTGGACCCAACTAGAGAGAAACATACGAGAGGGTGACTTAGTAATGATATGTTCCGAGTTCTCCGAGAAAAACAAATGGCCCTTAGGTCTAGTGCAGAGAGTGTTACCAAGTAGGGATAGATTAGTGAGGCAGGTAGAATTGAGGACAAGAAAAGGGATCCTAGTAAGAGATATTAGAAAACTGTGCCTTCTTGAAGCCGTAGATGGTAGGTAGCTACTCGAATCCCTAGGCGTACTGGTGTAAGTCCTAGGGATCACGAGATTGTTGGTGTATTGAGTGTTTGTTGTTGATTGTTTGTGATGCATAAACTTGGATTCTTGTTTATTTATTTGTCTGTGAAAAGAACCAAGGTTCTTTTGGTCGGGAGTGTTACGGGAGAACTGAAGACATTTGGCGGATTAAAACCTTTTATTGTACATTAATAATTTACTGTGTTTTTGGATGTAATTGTTTTACTTAACTTTTGACACTGTTTGTTTATATCATTATTTCGGACATTTTGGTTTGGTATTTGGTGCTCTCTTTGTCTTTGGTTTGGTATTTGGGAGTTTTGCTCCGGGAACCTACAAAATTGAAGGTTTGTTTTGTAATTGTTATAATTATTGTTGTTAGAACGACATTTGGTCGATTATTTGTGAATTACGAATAAATTTGGTATCTAAATTGGAACTTGGTTCTGTTGTTAATTTGGGTTCGTAATTTGCAAGTGGATCGATAGTCCGTACTTCAATAACTGGAACGAGCAAAACTCATACTTGGACGTAACAGGAGGTGAATGGCACAGTTAATGTAGTTTTTCATTAGATCTGCTTTCGCAATGGTACTGCATAAAATTTGTGTTGCAATATGATCTCCGAACGCTAGCGAATTTCAGAAATATTTCACGCTATGGAGAATAACATAGTGATTTGATTGATTAAATACACATTTTATCGCTAGACCGCTCTCTGATTTCAGACCAAATATACACAGTTTGCTCGTTACATTATCTCAGGTGATTAGTATATTGCCGTCGATGGAGGAATGTTGCAAAGTGTCAGAACTTCCTGCCATACCAGTCTAATTGTACCACTCGTTTTGATGAAGTTATGATGTACAAGGAAGACTTTAGAACCAAGTTCGATCAAGCAAAGTAGGCCTCAGAAGTCTTCCATATAACCCATGAGGCAACAACTAAACTTTCCTGTTGCGTTGGGATTAAACCTGACGAATCATGTACTGTAGGTGGTCAAAAGAAAACGACTTGCGTGCATGACGTTTGCAAGTATGTTGATACACTGAGATCCGGGGCTACCTTGTTGGAAGTGGAACGAAATGAAAAAACGATATAAATCAATAGTGACCACATTGTCTGTTTCTAAAAGATCAACATTCATACCGTACTGATGATGATGTCAATTTACTATTGCTGTTACTGATGACCTTAAACAGCTGATTACTCTCATCGTAAAGTTTCCAGCCATCTCCATAGAAGTTTTTTGCAAAGTTTGGCCGTGGCGATTATATATCCAAAGGTTCAGCAATACAAGCAAAAACGAGCTGACTTTCCATCGTAAAACCTTTTACTGACTTTAATTATCTGGCGGTGTCTGTTATAACGCTCTTTTTATTTGCATCCGGTCTAGTCATATTGTGTAGGTAAATGAAATCTATTTCTCTTCGCGATTCGTCTTGATCGAGCTCATTTCTCGTTGGTCAACTAAAGTACTCTGATTCCACCGCTCATAGTTGAGGAAAACAATATCATAAGCTAATGATTCGGTGAGCCTTAAAATTCAAGTAACCTGCTTAGTGCTATTTGTGAAAAGTTTTGTCGTGCAAGGTTGTGAAAGATCTTGTCAATCGATGAGTCAGGAAATACTTTGGAAACAAAAAAGCTGTCAGCAAAGCTGAGTTAATATTTCAAAAGATAGATCAAAAGTCTTTGGACTTTTATAATTACTCAGCTTGACAGTATACTGTAGACAGGTGCTGATCAACGGTGTGTTCTACAATTTCAGCAGCACAGTTTTTACAATAAAGGTGGCGAAGACGGATTTCATTGCCCTACATCATAGCTGCGCAAACTTTTGTCCTGAGACCTCTCCAATTTTCACTTATGTCCTACCTGCAGAATAAATCCGACTGTCTGGTCTGCATGTTCACCGATTATAGTAAACATTACATTAGCATCAACAATGAAACCGGATGATCGCGGTCATCAGGGGAGACCTTATACTGCTGTGGGAACGAGAGGAGAGCAATGAAATAAAATCCTACCTACCTAAATATCAAGCAATCAACGTAAAATTCCGCACAATACAACCATTAATTTATATCATTTGCAGTCAATCACTTCGAAATGCCTCCACGGCATGAAATTATGATGAATGGAACTATTCGAATTAGCGTATTAACAAGGAATTTCATGAAATAGCGTAATTTTAGTCCGATAGAAGCAGATAGAAGTAGGCACAAACGGACGCATGTTTTTGTTATCCGTAATAAGCTGGAAATCTAGTTCAAAAGAATGTTTAATCAGTGCAAATGCCATAGTAATGTAGGCTTGTTGTTGCGGAATATCTTTGCCGTCAGATTAAGCTACATAAAAAACTGCCCAAGCACCCCACTTTAGTTAAACTACGACTTCCGTACAGGCACCATAATGTGATGACAAATAAATCTATTCTATTAAGGATGTATTCAAACACACCACATGTAACATAAGAAATCATGTTGACTTTAAAATATCGTTGGGTAAACGGTTCACGAGCATCAAAACTAGACGCTTCAAACCGTAAGCCGTAGATGTCGCCGGAGAGTTGGCAAAAAGACTTAAAAGCCAGTCAGTGTGGTGGACTATAGAGTGCCTGAGTTGGTAAGTTGTAGTTCGAATGAAGCTTGCGAACACGATGTGCAACTGCACGAAAGCAATCATTAAACTAACATGTGACATGTTCTGGAACTCTGCGAAATTCGGACAACTAAGGAAATGGAAAGAGGTGACCTACTTCAATCTCTTTAGCAAGAGATAAGGAGGACCCAACTTAGCACAGGCCAGTTGAAATACCTTTGATACTGAATTAGGCAATGTGAGGACTGTTCAGCGACCGAACGAGGGAACACATGAACGAAACGACTTACTTTATGGAGCACGGGCTGGATCCATAAAAGACAGATCTTTGACGTTTTAAAATGGGACAGCTGGAAATGAGGATGTGTTTATCTGACCTGGCCTCAAAATTAAGTGGAGATTAACTGATTCACTCGAAGATAAACAGGGTGTTCGCGAGCTGCAAGAACCACAACGTTGTTGAATTCCCCAACTGAAACGTGACATAATCTCTCAGCCGAAATGGGTGAATATGGACTTCGAAACTTCGAATAATTTTCACTAATCTGTTGGAAGTTTGGCAATCTAATAACAGCACAAAATTTTCGAAGCACGCCATTTTAAACCCGTCACAAGCATCCCACTAGAATATCACGACCACGTCTAACTAGTCAACCACTGAGAACTTGGTAATCATGGAGTAAAAACCTAGGTAAACTCTTACTGTTCCCCATTGGTCGTTCACCGCATTTGAAAGGCTCTTCTAGCCGAAGTGAATAAGCCCTACATAGTGGATATCTTCAAGAGGAGACGTGAAAAACATGTATTCTCTAATGGATGAGAAACTTCCTACCGAACTAGCTGCAGCTGATATACTCTTCTGAACCTATGGATTGTTAATATAGTATATAATTAATTACTTCTGACCTTGTTTATCACTTAAAAAGTGTGTAGATTTTCAGAACATATAGACTTGTAACTTCTCGAAATTGACGTTGACATCATTAATTTTACTGGGCCCAGCCTAGCTAAAGGCGATGTTCCATGCATCCGTACAAGATCACGGGTACGTACGGTGTTACGCATCCTTTGCAACCATTAGCCAACTTAAACTAAACATTTCTCGATGTACGGATAGCTCTTCAAATATATATATTTCTGACTTCTGATTTGTCTGGGTTGGCATATTGGGATTATAAAAGATGTTACTGGTTAAGGCATTGTCGAATACTGAATATTTGTAGCACCTTTGCTATCATTTATGTTTTGTTCGTATCTTAGGCTTTAATTCTCTCAGGATGTCTGAATTACCAGTTAATTAACTTCTTTCTTTATTTCTTGAGACAGTTGAAATTTCACATTATTGTTTTTCACATTACAATTGAACGACCTCTTAAATATTAAAGCGGTAGCTCATGATACACAGAAACTTTACTGTACTCAGAAAAACGTCCTCAACCAGATTGCAAGATATACACACCAACAAATAACTGACAAATGGACAAGAATTAGTTCAGTCGAGTGGTTGGGCCACTACCTATTGGAAATTTACCAAAGAACTGAAACTGTGCTGAAACAATAAGAGGCGAGCAGAAAGAAATTCATCGGTTTATATAAACTCATACTTATGATATGTGATTGGACAATTTAACCGACCCGGATTTTCCAAAAGTTCGCTACACTTATGAGACTTCTTGTCGTTAGGACATGCAGTTCAATCCTGACTCCTCTGTGTCGGGGTATGGCATGTAGGTTTACTTATGAACATTACTACGATTTATCTCCAAATAAAACTATTTAACATCAGTAATTTTACTTAACATCTACTAGCTTTATTGGGATGGGTTGCTTCGTAGTAAACACCATCCAAATGTTGTCGCTTCAAATACATGCTGCACTCTCGTAGTCTAAGAAGAAATTTCGAGATGGGAACTGTCGTCTTGACTTTCCAAATCTTCCTATTCAGGGTTTTCCCTAAAGTCGTATTGCACTTGGTAGTTTCCCTTGATGTTTGGTGGAAAGTCCCAAGGTGTTATAAGATTCTGTGGAAATATTGGGGAAGGCCCGAAATTTCCCTAAGCATATTAAGGATTTTCCCCAGATCTGCAGATACTTTAGGGTTTTTTTGCCATTGCTCCAAAAATTTTATAGCAGCTGCCTCTACATTTACCCAGAACGGACATTTTTCCTAAGGAATAGGGAGATTGGGTTGGTTATGAATGCTATACGAATGAATAGCCTAGTTGAGATATCTAGCAACCTACAACGGATTATAAAAAATTTGTCTCTTCAATGCAATGTTGTGTTAAGTAGTTCGATATGCAAAAGTGTGTTAAAGTGTAAGCACGTGTGTTTCAGTTATACATAGTCTTAAAAAACGCTCTTATCTGGCTAATTCTAAAAAACAATTGTATTGCCGTTTCCATGCAAATATCATGGTATGGAAACGTCATTTTCTAGTGGTCTGAGTGTGTCCTATTGAAAGATCAGTTGGTTTATTCAATAGTTCGCTGAATCTAAATCTGATCCAAGTCTTCGATCTTGATTATATTGTCGCTGTTAAAAGTGTACTACTCATAGATATCAGTGCCCTGGGTGGTACGATTCTGGAATACATACGGACCATTGGGGACTCCCAGAACGCTTTGACGAATGTAGATGTTGCGTCAGGCTTTGACGAAACGATTACATGGTGATGCTTATCATTGGTTAGTGGAGTCACTATCTATTTATACAATTATAATTGGTTTTAACGATGCTACTTTTCCGACGAAACAGCCTCCCGATTTGTCCTAGCAAGGTGTGCGAACTATTTCGCCACTCATAATACTGGCTGTATGGTAATGTTAGTGTGATAATTCCTCATCAAAACCAAATACCAAGGAATCCATGTTTTATTGATTCTGGGACGTATATCTCAACCGATTTTTCCTAAACCACTTCTGATATTTCTAGCTAGTTTGACCATTTCACGTGATCTACACGTAATATGATGCATAATTAGATACCCCGAAAAACCACCATAACTGGGTAACATAAAATATAATCCCACTTGTACTCTATTACAGTCACGAAACGACATTCCGTATGAAATGTGAGTTGTTTTTGAGTAATTGGTTGCTCTTACTTGCTGCAACACTATTCCTTCCATATATGAAATTCTATCCTCTGGCAATCACCTAGCCTACATGTATTTCCCTAAAAAACGTCTAAAAGGTGTCATCGATTAACAAAGGTAACAAATTTGAACATCTCCAACCAAACCCATCACTGATTAGAAGCCATTTTATCAGTCGGTTGGGTAATGTACTTCCCACGCGGTTAGTTTGCAGCGGAGGTAAATATTCTTTAGAACAATTTCGTACTATTTGGTGTTTAGCCGTCCACTTCTTCACACAATATATCCATTCATTGTTATTGTCATTTGTAAATTGATAATTTATGCAGATTACCACATTGAATGGAAACCGAAACCGTATCCCTGCACAAAGGCCGAACGAGAAGCGGCTGCCAAACGTTACAATCTCTTACCTTCTGATTATAAACCATTTGAGAATGATGGTTTAGCACCAGGAGATTACTTTTACGTAGAACCATATAACGCGGTTAGTCGCAGCCCATGGGAACCCTATGACTTCCCACGTGAAAGACGAGATTTTAATGACCCGCAACAGTTCAACGCGCAAATGTATCTTGCTTCCGGATATAATCCTGCAAAACTAAATGAAATTTTAAAAGAACAGCCACTGTAAGCTGTGGTTCATAGATTTCATTTGTAACTAAGGTGGTATATACTGTTCAAGACGTTTGCACCGTTCTTTGGCCTTTGGATGTTCTTATATCTCGGTCAGATGTATTGCTTCTTTTTCCCGCTGGTAAGTACTATAAATTTGAACTTCACTTTTCGTTTTATAATCGAGTTAGTTATAATATTTACAGGATCATCCGAAAAGTAAGACTAGGAATTTAAAATTCCATAACAACTCTAAACTTTAATTTCTTAGAAAGTAGATAACAGGAAATCTTCAGCAACTTCCAGCTACACTTTGAATACCAACCACCATGAATTCGCCTACCGACTTATAATGCGGTAAAAAAGCTGAGACAGCTAAGTATTAGGACCATGAAGCTGTAGTTTTGAGTTTAACTAACAGATTTGGGCCGCTCCAATACTATATACTGAGCAATCAGTTTGAGAAGCGTAATGTTTCTAGTTGTTTGATGTCTACATGGTGTGCAAAGGCAAAAAGTCCGCGAACACAACAGTTCACTTCTGTCATGAGGTCTGATCATTACAAGTGGTCAGAGGTCATCGACATTCGACTGCATAGTTTTTCGAAACACTTTTCCATGTGACAAAACCTCTAAATTCGTTGCGTCAAAGTTAGGCAAGAAAAACACACCAATTGACAGCTATATCAGCAGATTTGTACTTCGTAACGACCATCACGTGCATGTATAAGTGACCCGGAAACGTCACATATATGGTTGGGTTATAAGGCATAAGTGTGAATAAAGTAGGTCGTTTCGAAATCACAGCTTGCGAAGGTCGTTCAGCAACCAGCTGACTGAACAAATCCACTTATCTAAAGCATAGTACATACCTCAACATTGTTCAGTAAATGGAAATTCAGGTAAACTTTAGCCGGTTGTCCAAAAACGGATGCTAATTTTTTCTCTTTTTTTTACAGAAAGCGAAACAATATCCACATGCAGTGGACAAAGAAAATCACTATACTTTTGAAAAGCTTGGGTAGATCCATATGTTCGAATAGAAAGTAATAAAGTCTTAGTAAACAAAAAGAATGACTTATTATTATTGGGGTTTTTTATTGCCGGTATAATTAACCACAATTATTCGCTTTACATAAATACACTAAAATTTGGGACTGCATGGGCACAAACATTGGAGTGCCATTCTTGATAAATAACTGCAACATTCCGTGGATAAGAGAATTGTGTGCATAGTTGTGTTCAGGTTTTCCGACTCGATGCTGACTTTTTCAATTGTCGTTCATACTGATATTCACGTTCACTTGCTCTATTGAAGAATGCTTGCCTTTCCAGATACCTATTTTAAAATCAAAAACCCAGTAGGTTAACTTAGCTTACAAAAAAGAATCTACAACTACAGACCTCATTAACAACCAGATATTTTAATTGGCGGTGCACCGGAGTAAAACGACGAAATTATCGAGGCACTATGAAATCAAAATTGTTAATTATGATTAGCGGCGACATTATATACTACTTGTTGACGGCGGATGCTTTTGTTTCTGGAGTGGAAACTTCAAAACTAAGCAGATAGCGTCGATGTGTCAACGTGAATTAATGTTGTCGACTCAGTTTAGTTGGTGGCTAGTATCTGCAAATGCAAAGCAATTCTCTCACTACTGCAATGGGATAGTGTTCATGCGTTGATAAACTTGCACTCTTACCCGAGAGTAACACATTACTGATAAAGTACTTGGTCTCTGACGAGTTTCTACCTATGTTCCATTACACTTGTCAATGTCCCGCGTCTATGAGATTGATTTGAGACATGTTCATTTTGAAAACTGCTTTTCTTTAAGAGGCAACTGACTGTCATCCAGACTTACTCGACCAGGTGGTGTAAATGTGTATAATCCAAAACCAAGCAATCAGTACTAGTGTAAATAGGCATGAGTTGTTTTTCTTCATTTGGTCGTCAAGGTTACTGAGACTACTCTTTTCTTCAATACAGTTGGTATACAGTAAGAAAAAACTCGAAACTCTTGATACACAACAAAATTACCAACTCAATGACCATTTGTAAATCGTATGTATGATTATATATTACTGTAATCTTACCCTTCTTTCCCTTTGTTGTGGGCTTTAAGGTCATCTTCCAAAGATTCTTTCTGTACATATTGCTTCCAATCAAGACGCGACTTTTCCTATAATTTCAGTAAAATAAATGTCTCTACATTCGTTGGTTATAGCTCATGTATTTTAAAATGAGAAACAGAAAGAGATAACCACGTGCCTAGTTTTTTTCACGAACTTCATGATTATGATAGTTTTATAGTACAATCTAACCACATTTATATTCATTTAGTAGCCCCTAAGCCTTATCGAGAGTAAGGCCTGGTTTATTAACCGATTTACCAGGTACATATTAGAGAAATTGGCTTTGGGCCACATTCTACATGTGAGGACTAGTTATTAGTATGGGGTTGTGGAGACTATTAAGTTTTAATTGAGATCTTGAACCAATTGATGTTAGACCATCACAATTGAAAACCTGGAAGCACTGGACGGCCGTTTCGTCCTATTGTGGGACTCCTCAGCAGTGCGCATCCACGATCCCGCGAGCGGGATTCGAACCCAGGGCCTTCGGTCTCGCGCGCGAACGCTTAACCAACTGGACCACTGAGCCGGCATCCAATGGTGATAGTTTCTAACATCAACCAATCCACGAAATTGCGCGACCCACTTCCATTGTCTTTAAGTAGATAACTGTCTCTACCCGACAAGGATTAGCTCCACTGGTCACGGCTTCTCACTAGAACTCCGAGAATTCCCTCACGAAGCTAGTCACTAGTGAGCACATGTTGTCTCCACAACCCCATACTAGTAATCAACATGTGCTCACTAGTGACTAGCTTCGTGAGGGAATTCTCGGAGTTCTAGTGAGAAGCCGCGACCAGTGGAGCTATTCCTTGTCGGGTAGAGACAGTTATCTACTTAAAGACAATGGAAGTGGGTCGCGCAATTTCGTGGATTGGTTGATGTTAGAAACTATCACCATTGGATGCCGGCTCAGTGGTCCAGTTGGTTAAGCGTTCGCGCGCGAGACCGAAGGCCCTGGGTTCGAATCCCGCTCGCGGGATCGTGGATGCGCACTGCTGAGGAGTCCCACAATAGGACGAAACGGCCGTCCAGTGCTTCCAGGTTTTCAATTGTGATGGTCTAACATCAATTGGTTCAAGATCTCAATTAGGACTAGTTATACCAACAAGCTGCCTAAACTAAGTAAAGCAGAGCCACCACTCGACAAAAGTCTTGTAACTGTGTGGAACTATTGCAAAAAAGCGCCAAAAACTCGTAACTCTAAAGCCCTACTTAGTGCTTTGTGAGAATATATAATTTCCAGTAACAAACATAAATAATACTAATGTAGCGTAACAAATTATCAAGAAATCCGGAACTTACTAAGGTAGACAACTTGGGTAGGCTATTTATCGTGGATTTCAAGTTCTGCAGAGCGTTAGTTAGACCGAGTCCCAAAGACGGTGCTCTATATTAAAATGATTTGTAAATTGATGCACATAGTAAGTAGATTAATTCGGTTCAACATAAGGGAAATATAATTTGTTTTGTCTGAATGCTTTTTGTGGTGTGAAAATGTTAGCAGGAGAGATACGGCTTACAACAGCTACTGTTATGGCTAATATACCAGCAAAATTAGAGCAAATACTACTAATTTTGCAGCTGTCACACATTTTAGTGAGAGACTTAGTCGCTAGCGTAATTAAAGTGCACGAGGACGTACTGAGTTTATCAGGAAAAACTAACTGCTGGAAGCGGACTTTATTGCTCACTCTTAGTCCTGGTGAGATGAAACCACTGTCACTCTATGGGAGTAGCTTAACCTTGGTGTTAATTACCTGCTTTATATTTTCTGTGTAGCACAAAAGCAGGAGATAATACCTTTTTTACTACAATCGCTGACTGACGGCTTTCAACGTTTCATGACAAAATAGCTCTGATAATTTCCCTTGAGTTAAATCATATTTCCTTCCATTAATTATTATGCTCATATATGTATATCATAACCCACTGGTTGCAACACAAAAATGCAGATGCTATTTAGACGTATGAAATATTGCCGATATTTTAACTAAATTAAACAGAAGTGGACACGCAGTGTTTCATAGTAAACATAGTTTTGCTCATCCATTAAGTTGAAATCAGTTTGGAGTTATATGCAGTGCTACTGGTATAGGTTATGGTACGACGTTCACCAAAAGAAACGACGGAGCACTTTATGATGCTGTTTGAAATAACTATACACTTGTTACAAAGTTATTACTATTAATCTATACAACTGTTGACTGTATTCTCAACCGAATAACAGTTTTGGATAGAACTTACTTTGGTTTGAGGGGATTTGTCTCAGTTGAAGTCTTATTATGTGAGACACCTAGACCTTTAGTTCGATTCGAGTTTGAAACAGCCTCAATGACTCTGAAAATAAGAAAGTTGTTTTTATAGATAACAGTTATACGGTTTACATAGAAATATAGTTAAGTAGGTGACTGATAGTTTACATGGTAATATTGGTTCCTAGTGATTCAGAAACGAAACAAGTGCTTTGAATATACGAAAATCCCGATGTTTAAACTCAGGATCATCATGTAACAAGGGTAAAGTTCGGAGGTAATCGCATCTTAGTGTATTCTTCAATAACTATTATAACACAATGGAGATCCCAAAATGATGTAATCAACAAAACGATTAAGAAATGGTTTGTGTTAAAAGCCTGCTTGTATCGCAACAGATCATAATCGACGATAAGTAAGTCTATACTTGTACTATGCACCATAAAATCAGTCAATTTTAATGGGCGTAGGGCTTGACACGAAGGTACATCGGTAGTGGTGGGGAAGGCATTAAACAGCAAGGTTAAAAAGGGATATACTCAAGGAGTAAAAACGAGATACTACTGAGAATCAAAATTAGGTGGAATTTAAAGGGTGGGTCCCGCTTCAGTAGACGCAGTCTTAACATTTAGTTAACGGATTTGTCATATATGCACATTACGCTACACGTAACACTAGCATTGATTACTTGGTTGTTCAAACGCGCGAGCAGTACTTCCAGCTTATGTAAGGGTAAGTGCAACGACAGAACGAGATAACAGTTTTCTAAAGATCGTCGATGGGAAGGTGAGATTCTACTAGTATTTTGAACCTGAAAATTGGACACCCGCATTAGAAAAACGTCAGTCGACATTCATAGAGACTATTGCACATGTATTGATCAATAATAAAACAAAGTCTGCGGTGAGTACGATCAGTCAGCTACAACGTAGGACCAGGCACATGTGCGTCGGTTCAAGTTGCCACACCTCATTAGCACGAGATGAAAACTGAATTCATAAAACTAGTCAAATCAGTGGTGGTGGTGGTAGTATGTAAAAGAAACAGGCTGGTGATCTAAACGAGTGTCTAGCCTCAGTGATGTATACCTAATCAAGAAAAGCTACTTAAAAATGATTGAAGTCTAGCACAATGCACTACGTACCTGGATGTTGCTGATTTTCAGACTTGGCTTAAAACATCATGAGTACAAGAAATAATAAAAATCAGACAAGATCGAGACACGATAAGCTTTGTTAACTTTTGGCACTACTGACCACATATAACTGAAAGTACGATGGAAGCAAATTGCCGACCAGTAAAACTAATCTACGATTTGCTCCTCCGAAAGACTTGACATAACACAAGCAAGTGACTTTGTATGTCTATGTTTTTGGAAAATGTTTAGACAACTTACTAATAAACAGCATAGCATTCGTCGTAAAGTTCATTTTAATGAGTAATGTGTAAGGGGACTAAAAAACTTAGTTTCTAATACTTAATAGGCCACTGCTTCACATGATAACAGGCCTATGATACGCTATGCTTTGAAGGTAACTTAAAAATTCAGTCACGACTCTGTTAACATGTTGGTGTAGGGCACATTATCAAAGTCACCCATCAATAGACGTACATACAGGAAAACATTTAAAAAGTGAAATACAATATATGAGATATTCCCATGAACTTACTCAACTTCCTCACCAGCAAACTGATACTTTTTTACAACATTTACTTTTTCAGCGCTATTCTTTAATATGTTATTCGTGGAAACTGTGCTTACAGATTTCTCGGTACTATCAGACTTTAGAAACTCGTTCCACACTTTGTCTTCGTAGGCTTTCACATCCTCGGTAGTGGAAAGCGGTGAACAGTCGGTAATCTAAAACTTGGCCATTAATGACACTAATAAGCAAACCTTGGATTTTTTCGAGTCCCTAAATAATCAGCTAATGGTTAAATCATAGTTAAGTTGTACTCATACCTTTTAGAAGGACGTTTTTACTTGCCCGACTGGTTAAACTATCTAGGGACAGATCGAGGGAGGGAATGATTTTACCACTAATACAGTCTGAGTCTCCTGATTCTGACTCATCGCTATATTCGCTTTCTGAGTCCTCTCCCAATTTAGAAGCTTTAACTAAATATTGAAAAATATAGTCCTAGAGTTATATCTACCTGGGGGGATATATTCTTCATCTGAAGTAGATTCATCTTCCGAAAGACTCATGATTATAAGTGGGAATCGAAGTTGCCTCTCTTTCGCACCAACGACCTTGAAAAACAGTCATTACATTTTCGAAGTACCTCAGTTTGTGGCCCATTTGTAAGTTAGTCTAACCTTGTAGTGCGTGTGATGAGCGACTAGATTTATCGGCCGAAATTGCATCTGGAGTAAACTCCCAACTAAGATGCGTGTAAATTTTCGGCATAATCATATTTTAACTGGCTGCAACTGCACAATAAGTTATTGGTCCAGTAATCAATCAGTAATTTAAAATCAAATCTCATTTCTATTGTACTGTGTCGCTTGTGTAATACTGCCTTCCCCTCCTTTCCTCCCCTTTTCCCTCCAAAGAAGAAAAATTCGCTTTAGTTGCGGTAAATTAATCCCAAAAGTCCTAAACGTTTGATGTTGGCCTTATTAGTTTTACTGAACGTAACCTAGCTAAAGGCGATCTTCCACGCATCCGTACTAGATCACGAGTGTGCACATCGTAGTACGCATCATTTGCAACAACTAACCAGCTTTGGCAAAACATTCCTCGACATGCGGATATATATAAATATAAATGTATAAATATATATTCAAACCGTTTAATTTCTGACTTCTGATTTTTCCGGGTAGGTTTATTTCGATTTTAAAAGGTTTTAGTTAAGACGTTGTCAAACTCTGAGTACTCAGCGTTCAGTGTTAGACGAGACGCGATCTAGTACTCTGGACGGTAAACTCTTGGTCTGTTCTTTGTTGGATCATTATATTGTAGTGACCTACTTTTATGAAGAGGTGATTGATAAAATGGAAACAACTATTATTATTACCACCATATGTACCAGTGATTGTTTTACTGAGCTTGTTTATTTAAGTGTACTGAATACATACATCCTGTGACCTTGCACACACTTGCGTACGCTCAGTAGTTCCGCTTGTTAAATTTGGCGCGATCTCGGTATTATTTCGATACCATGAGATTACTAAAAAATATATCTTATTATAACCGTCAACTAGCCTTCTGGTTTTTGATCTACGGAGGAATCCAATCTAATATTCGACACGCAATATTCCTGTAGTGATTATCATAGTCAATCGCGATTCAACGCCCACCACAATATGTTATTTCTTAAATGTCATTCTTTGCCAGAAAGTCACCACCATCTTTAAAAGGAGCCGGAGGTAAGTCATCTGGGCCAGGTGATTTGTAACGCTTCAAGAGTTGGAGTTCCTTGCGGACTTCCTCCTCGTTTGGTGGATCAGTCGTCACCGGCCATGGAGGGCAGGACAGTCTGACCGATGTTGCCGGAGCAGCAGGCCAGTTGAACTGCCCTTCGAAAAATTCTGCCCATCGTCCAAGACGTCGATGGATGTTAGTGATTGGCATCCCATCATCCTCGCAGATTGTTTCACTCACACCAGACTTCTTGCTGCCAGTGGCTCGGATGAGCTGGAAGAGCTTCCGGTAGTTACCAGATGCAGCTGCTGCTTCCAGCTCATTAGCACGCATCGACCACCAGGCTTCTCGGTCCTTACGCAAGCTTTGCCCAATTTCCTTACGTAACATCCTTCGTTTATGGTCAAACTCACGGTCACCCGGAGTAGACCGACGGGCTTCAATGAGTTGTAAGGAACCAGAAGAAACCCAGTGCTTAAAAGCGGGACGTTTCGCAAACCCACAACTGACTGTTCCCGCCATTTTCATGGCGTCATGCAATTGCAACCAATGCTCATCTATACTTTTCGGTGGAGTGGTAGCTAGCCTAGAGGCTAGCTCGGTTCGATACTTACTTGCAACAGAAGTTGCAACCAGCTTGCTAACATCAATCCGTTGATGGCGTCACTTCGTTGTCCACTGAAAAGTAAGGCAAGATTGGCGCAGACCAAGGCATGGTCAGAGTCCAGATAGGTACTCCAAAAGGAGCGGCAGTCTTTACACAACCACGCCAGCGGTAGCTGATCGCGATGTGATCAATCTGAGTCCAGGCTTGAGATGCAGAGGGAGGACGCCAGGTGGCACATCGGCGATGACTGTGCCGAAAGTTAGTGCTAGCCAGAAACAGGTTGTGGTCTGTGCAAAGTTGCAGTAGACGGTCCCCGTTATCTGACCTGCGACCAACGAGTCCCCATCGGCCACCTAAACGACTCTCTTCTGTGCCTAGACGCCCGACCTGAGCATTCAAGTCTCCGGCTAGTACTACAATATCTGTCGAACGCACTTTCTGGAGAAGAACAGATAACTGGTGGTAAAACTCATCCTTGATTGCATCCGGGCTGCAATCTGTCGGGGCATAGGCGGAGATGACGAAAAGACATCGTTTCTCACGCCGATTTCTTCTCACTTTGATGGAACTTTCTAATCTAACAGCACATAACCGACTGTTAATGGGGATCCAATCGACTAGTGCTGCCTCAGCTCTAGCGCTTAGTGCGACACCAACGCCAGCAAGACCAGACGAAGATGCCACAGGGTCCCCGGATAAGCGCACGTAAAACAAGCTTTTCGAGGCCACAGATGGAGAGCGAATTTGTAGTACTTCACCAGATTCTTGAATACAGGTCCCCGGATAAGCGCACGTGAAACAAGCTTTTCAAAGCGACAGATGAAGAGCGAACTTGTAGTACTTCACCAAAGTCTTGAATACGGGTATCGGATAGACAGCAAACATCGATATTAAGACTTTACAAAGACATAACCAGCCCTATCTGTTGTTCGACCTGCATAAGTGTGCGAACGTTGAAGGAGGCCAGTTTGAATGGTGCATGTGGTTTCAGAAAAACTGCTTGAGTACTCATATTCAGTGGTAATATACAATTTTCAACCGGACAGTGACTCGAGAACGTTTAGATAGAGTCGAATTTCCACCACAGACGAGCTGTTGTATAAGTCGAAGAAATAAGTATAAGAGTGGGAATAAAAGAGGGTGAATAATGACGTAGTAAATAATAAAAATAATAATCATAATAATAACAATAATAGCAATAATAATAATAATGCGAGTCACTTGATTGTTATTTGGAACGAGAGGAATATTTCTCATAAGTAGACAGTTTATCATGTTTTTTGTGTGTGCGGGCTGAGACACTGCCCGGGTGCCCAGACCGAAGCAGGTGGTTATCTCAGAGGGCCACACCCCGAGCCTTAGACCTAAAGGTTTAACCCACAAGGAATTGGAGCATCGTAAGGAGATGCAGTCCCATGGTAGCCGGTGACCTACGATTGGTTCTCACGCCATTTGTTCCCGCAGGATACTAGAGCCCATGTGCAACGTTGACTTGGTTTGGGATCCGGTTAAACCACCGGACATTCTCTTTTCGTCCTCTCATTTTCGTAAACAACACCCTCGTCTCGAGAAGGCAGTGAGTAGGACATCCCTGTATACGCGTGGCCGTGTGAGAGTATTTCGATAGTGAATGCAGTAAAAGCTAACATTAGATACACTTCGGCTCAACTCCTTTAAAGAACGATACTCCGACTACAATGTGAGTTCATGGGTTCTTCGTCTTCTCCAATGAATATGGATCTAAACTCCTACACGAGCAGACTTACAAACGCAGTGGGTTCAGATAAACTTGTTTCCACTCGACAGCAGTCAACTGATATTTTCGTTAAGCACGTCTTTAAACGTCGCAACTCACTTCGGCTAGTTCTCGATACTACATACGAAGGACCCTTCAAAGTTCTTCAGCATGAACCTAAGTACTATATCTTTGATAAAAACAGAACTAACGACTGCACCAGCATCGATCGCATCAATGAAACGTATTTAAAAGGGAACCATATGCATATCGATTTTCCTTCGACACAATCGAAGGACACGCGTCCTGCATTTACGATATCTTGCTCGATAATCAACAGTCACGACGACACGCCGGCGGTATCTGACAACCGACTAAAACAATGCGTCACGGTAGAGAGATAAGATTTTTAGAACACCTAAATGATTACTGCACGTAAGACACTACATAACTCTTTGAGTTGACTCTAATCTTCCGCATTAATTTTTGGAAGATTAACAAAAACAAGCTATTTTAATATGTTCACATATATACTTATTGTTTTTATTCCGAAAAGCGAATTATTTTTTGCTGCTAGTGTGTTTTCTAACATGTGTTTTTATATATTTTTTCAAAAGGCCCAAAACATCATTCTGTAAAAATCGTTTTCAGGCTATGGCATGCTTAGGAAATGCATGTATATTAGTTTCTTTTTCTTTTTTCGTCCGTTTTGTGTCATTCGCACGTACAAGTGTAATTCTACATGCACTCACAATTTCTTCTATTTCTTTTCCGATACAGCTGGAAAAAACAAAAAGCCGACGAAGGTTACGATGAATCAAGATTTTCATTGTACCTGTTTTTCATTAATATATTGTACCACATGGCTCCTTTCATTATGGAAAGATGACCAGACGCTGCTGAACATTGTAAGCGAACGCAAGAGTGAGTAGCAACGACAAACTCGTTGGATTTAAACTCCCTAATGGCCACTTCTTGCGGTCATCACTGCGCCACTAGTATGGAAGAGTTCTGCAGCAGAAAGTAGTGGTTCAATGTCTCTGTAAGTCCTGAACATTTGATGCCAACCTCATTAGTTTTACTAGACACAATCTAGCTGAAGGCGACCGTTCACCCATCCGTACCAGTTCACGAGTGTATACATTGTGCTAGGCATCCTTTGCAACCATTAACCAGCTTAAACCAAACGCTTCTTGACATGATGATATCTTTCCAAATATACCTTCAAACCCTTTTGTCTCTTGTTTCACCTGCTATGAATATTGTCTATTCTATTCTCGTACTTTTCTCTTCCGACTCCCTTGGGAATTGTTAAACACCACCAAAAACACATATTTCGACAAATGACTTCGTTTTACGCCCCGATCAATATCTTGGATACTTCATAATTATTTACACTTGTACTTGTCGGAAGACTATTGAACTTATGAAGCAGTACAGATCTATACGCTAAAGTCGACATTTGTAAATTACTGCTTTTGTATTTGTCCCAATACATC